CACGATTCATACCTTAAACAGAAAGTACTGAGAGACAGACTTGGTTTATAACTGTGTATAATTGTACTGGTTCATTACAAGTTGTGGCATCTATCAGCATGCACTCCAGACAAGATATTCATTAGAGAGGTTTAATGGCAGTAGTCAAACAAGCGAGTGTATATGGTTCTGAAACAGATATACATGAAATAATGATTAAAAACCTCTATATAACGTAACAGGTTGTTATACCAGATAATTCGACAGTGCAACTTGTGTGGCATAATAAGTCATATGAGTTCAGGAAGTACAATAGTTGCTTGGGTGTAGTGTAAGTTAAGTGAGTTTATTATGTTTCCTTTGTGTTTATGAGGAGGAAGTGTTCATTTTAGTTAAAATGTGGGGTACAGTGTTATTTATCGCCAGCTACATTTGTAGGCAGTAGATCCAGTGGATCGCCAGTAGGTGTCAGTGTTGCGACATCAACAGTGTCTGTGACAGAGAGCCAGAGGGAAGTCTCGCGGGAATACGCGAGAACATGAGAATCTCTTAACAGGATAGAAGAAGAAAGTGCTGAGAAGCGACTGCATACCTTAACACACACACACACACATATATATACATATATATATATACATATATACATATATATATATATATATATATATATATATATATATATATATACATACATACATACATGTATGTTGTATTAAACTGCGTTTGTTTTTGATAAGTGTACCTAATATACTGGCATCTGAGTGTATAGTTACGTAAACGCAGTCAGTGTTTCATGTAGAAAGTCATAATTATGGAACTATAGACTGTATCCAGCCAACAAGAAGCTCCCAGGACATCGTAATGAGAGCAGTGTACATTCTGTCTGTACAGTCATGTAAAATATGAGTGCGTGTTTACTGCTGGAGCACGCATGCGCAGGAACTTAGGCTCAGAGATCTTCAAAAACTTTGAAACATGCACTGTGTCTGGAAACTCTGCACGGGACTTGAGGAGCGAAGTGAACGAGCTGACGGAATAAACGTGAGTCTACACGCTAACGACATACTCTGTAAGTACTTGAACTAATTTATTCCAATAATGCAAACCGAAATTAGCACCATTAGTATCATTTTCTGCTCATGATGTGGGCTAGGCTGCTAGCTTGTAGCTCCAGCAGCATGGGCCAACAGTAAACATAAACACGTGTTAGTTAATGTTGGAGACTCTTTATGGACTGTTGCTGTAGCGCGACATTATAAAATAGAGTTTTTAGGACATTTCACATGTAAAATACAGGACAGACAGCGAGTGGGGCTGTACACAGTTCAAATATGGAGGCTTGAGTAAAACAAAATGATGTACTAATAAGAAGACGGTCAAAACATTGTTGTTTAGCTCACAGCAATATTATACTGTGTAATATCCAAGTGAGCATCTTTCTGTTGAAAAGACGTTCAAAACTGGTCCTATCTCAATGTTTTTCTAATACTTGTATTATTTCCAGATGTCCACCTTGAAAATATGGCAGACCTTCTGAAACAGGCTCCTGTGTGACAACGATATTTAAAGAAGGAAAGGGAGATCATGGTTGTATTTAAAGAACATTGTTTGTTATATTTATATTGTTGCTTAATAAATACAAATGAATTGTTGCCTGTGTCACTTGGTCTTCTTTGTCCTGCAAGTGGAAACTGTTGATGTGTTACGATGATTAACTATTTAATTGCTACTTATTGAACTGTGAGCATTTCGACGTTTAAAACCTGGTGATGTTTAAACGACTATTTGAAGACGTTGATTAAACGTTCACGTTACGGAAAGGGTTCATAAAAGGGCTCAAGATGTCTGCCAGAGAGCCCTCAAACGCTTGACGATTTGACAGTGGGACCGCCCTAAACATTCACGGACTTCGCGGGAGCGCACCTCAAAGTCCGTGAGTCCGTCAGGGGGGACATTGGGATGTGGCCATGGACACGTAAAAAAAAGGTAAACAAAGAGGACGGCTCACGTGTGTTCAGCCTGTCTTATTAAATGTACTCAGAAACATTAAGGGTTAAAGATGGAACACAAAATAAACTTGAAATCAGAGAATGTTTATTCATTTATTCATCAAATATTTGATTTTGACAAAAACGAGTAAATAGATTATATGAAGTTACCTCTCATCTTGTGAGGAAAGAGTCTGGAAGACGTTCAAATCAGGGAGTACAAAGTATAAAACAAATACCTACATACATACATACATCATATTCATGTTGTTTTCATGGTAACGTGATATGTTGCAGCAAAGTGCTGTCCCATTCCTATTTACACCATTTCAAGCCCTCACAGTCTCTCACACTCAACCACTTACCAGGTGACGTCAGTAAGTCCTTGAGGGTTCAGGGCTTAGGGTTTAGGGGGGACATTGGGATTTGGCCAACGATTTTTTTCCTGTTTATTTGTAAATTCTGTGTATGTACGTGGAGAGCAGAGAAAAACCGGAGTCAAACTCTTTGTATGCGTACATGGCCAATAAAGCTGATTCTGAATATATTGCAATGTGGTAACGTTAACGCTAGGGGGCGATCATTCATAGTTTAACCTGATTTGTAACATGGGCTACTTGGAAAGAAAATAAAGAAGAAACAGCTGACAGACAAAATGGCTGTGGGACAAAGCTAGAAGCTTGGCTAATGTAAACATCCATCAACAGTAGACTGGAGCTGGAGCGACGATAGCGTTACTCGATACCCGTTTGACATTGCGAATGAGAGTGTATGTTGACACACAATTCACGTATCGAATCTACAGCATCTTCAATGACATAGCGCTAATTCAGCTAGCTAGATTAGCTCTGAAATTAGCTTGGGTAAACACTGATAGCTAGCTGTACATTAGCTTGTTGATTTCGCGTTTTTGAGTGAACTTTGCCGTGCGAAGAAACTTGACACACGTTACAACAATACTGTTTCGGAATGATATGTTAGTAAGAGGCTAATATGTCTGTGAGGATATTCTGCTGTCAGTTCGGTCATTTCTGTGATAGAGAGAGAGCTGCCAGCTATTAGCTTATGCTAACAAGTAAATAGGTCAAAGCCGGGGACGATTCATTTCAACAGATGTATTGCTCCTTAAAACGAATCCAGTTCGACTGCCAGGGCCGTGATTAACTCAGACGTTTTGGACAATGCTACAATACACTATTGTAGCCTTGATAAACGACGTGTGATGGGATTTAGACTCAAGCTCAGAGAAGTTACCAGTCAATGCTGCAGAAACCTGTTCTACAACCTTGATTTTCATATCTAATGGATTAATGAGCAGCCGGACCTGTCTTTTACACACGAGAATGCACCGTCAACTCTCACTGTTGTGATTGATAAAGTTTCATGTTTTCTAGTTCCACCAACAGTCTTCCTAACTTTGGTGAAGGATGACGAGCCAGCGGCGTGGGATCCATCTGGACCAATCAGAGCTGCTTTGCAAAAAAGGATGTGGTTTTTATGGCAACACTGGCTGGCAGGGCCTGTGCTCGAAGTGCTGGCGAGAGGAGAATCAGCGAGAAAAGCAAAAACAGATTCAAGAGGACTGGGCACTTGCTGAGAGGTTTGTCTGTCTCTCTGTCAACAATGTACAATCATTCCTAACAGGGAAACACCATGTCTTTAGTTCCTTTACCCTTTCATTTTGTCAGCTTGCTCTTGTGTCCATCTGTCCATCTGACAACTTTCACACTTGCACTGTCTCTCTCTCCCCTCCCCCTCCAGGCTGCAGAAAGAGGAAGAGGAAGCCTACGCAAGCAGACATCAGAAGGCCCAATCGCAGCCCACCATCACACCCTTCAGCAAGTTTGAGGAAAGAAAAACGAAGGAAAAGTCCCGCAAAGTCAACACAGTCACAAAGTTTTTTACTCCTTCCACAAAAACACCATCGAAAAAAGGTACATACTCAACTGCAAGAGATGCAAGTCATTTATCATCCCAAATAATGGATTGATAAATGACTGAAGTTGTCATTGCTGTTCTTGCATTGAAGGATAACTTCATCAAGTGGTAGAGATATTTATATACATCTTGCTTATTGTAGGCCTGTTCTGCTTAAACTCTTCTTTTGAGGAACTGGTTCTGATCACCTGTTAACCTGGAAAAATAGTAAGAAACAAAATTAATTATAGCTGTTTGTGTTTTCAGTCCAACCACTTACCTCGATTTGTAGTGTGATAACCTACACGCAGTCACGGTTTAAATAAGCTATTAGAGTGCAGCATGTGGTGCAACTACCACAAGGGATATTAGGGGGAAATGCTTTTTAAGTGTTTGAAACTTTGATTAAAATAACATCAAATGTCTTCCCTCAGATGCTTTTGAGGCTCAGTCCAGCCCGAGCCCCAGCTCCTCCACAAGCCGGCATTCCTCTGTGGACAGTGACCATGCGACGCGAGAGTTCATTGATTTTCTCAAGCCTCTGAAGTCTGGCAGGGAGATCTTCAAGCAGTGCCGGGCCTTCACTGAGAGCATGGTCTATAAGCGGGTGAGCTACAGTGGATTACTCATCACGTTTATTTTCTGGGTGTATTGAGCTCGTAGGAACCATTTAATTCTTATGTGTGACTAGTTGTGCGAATCTAGACAACCTTTTAACACATCGTTTATGCTTAAATACATTTTTTGGTTTAAGTTTGTGTTTTTACTCAAATCCTTACAGCACTGTTACCAATACTGTTTCTCAAGTCATTGCGATTGAACCATCAGTGTACTTTCCACCATTGTTTATTTGTCATAGTGTTCATTAACACCTGTCCTGATTTAGTGCTAAACACTTCTCCATGTCAACATCACTGAACGAAATGAGCTTTAATTATTGCTCCAACTCAAATACTCACTTTATAGTTTATGCACGACATCGTCACCTTAAAAATGTGTTCTGCAGTTAGTAAAATTGAGTTTGCTTCCAAGTGAGATGCTGACTTTCACACGTTGTCTCAAGAGAAAACAGGTTTCTGTAAATATGCTCCCTTCGTCATTGCAGCAGGCTTACAGTTTGTTCGACATTTGAAATGGTCAAGTAATTGCTACATTTAAACAGATAACATTATCAAAATCATGGTTAATATATCACTCTCCTATTTGGGCATGACTTTGATAACTGTCTTGGTACCATTAGTGTATTTTTAAGCTGAAATTAAAGAGTTGTTCATTTCCTTTTCTTGTTCAGGACATGGCTGCTGATGAGCTGTCAGAGTGTGTGCAGGACTTCTACCAGAATCTCTCAGACCGCCTCCACACCCAGTTCAAAGGTACTGCTTGGCTCTTACTCTTCAGAAGAACATGAACGCTGAATATCACAAACATTAAACAGTGTATTAAGTCTTTGCTCTGTGTACCTTTTGATCTTCGCGCTTCTCTTCCTAGGTTCGTCCGAACATGTAGAGAGCGTTATGGATGAAGTAGAAAAGTACATGATGACTCGTCTCTACAAGGAAGTCTTCTGTCCTGAGACCACAGACGATGAGAAGAAAGACCTGGCCATTCAGAAGAGAATCAGGTTAGCAAACAAAAGTTGTAATAACGCTTAAAATCAAAACTCAAATAATCACGAATATTTCTGCATTCCGTTTAAACACAAGAAAACACAATTGCAGGTAGAAGAACTTACTTAAATTGTAATGTTATTGTGTTCTGTTACAGAGCCTTGCATTGGGTCACCATTGAGATGCTGTGTGTTCCTGTAGATGAGGAGATCGCTGAGGTGTCAGACAATGTAGTCAAAGCCATCACAGGTATGTCTCAATATTTTTCTGAAAGCTTGGCAGGAGAGATCCAGTAAGATTTTCAGATAAAACAATTTGTTTTTGTTTTTTTCAAATCTCTGCATCATTTCAGATGTGATTGAAATGGATTCAAAGTGCGTGCCCAAGGAGAAGCTGGCATGCATCACTCTTTGCAGCAAGCACATCTTCAACGCCATCAAAATCACCAAAAAAGAGGCTGCGTCTGCGGACGACTTCCTCCCGACGCTCATCTACATTGTGCTGAAGGCAAACCCACCGCGACTGCAGTCCAACATCCAGTATATCACCCGCTTCAGCAACCCCAGCAGACTCATGACTGGAGAGGACGGTTACTACTTCACTAATCTGGTGAGGAAATGAGTTCATGCTTGCATTTATGTGGTTTAGTGTATGTGTGTGTGTGTGTGTGTGTGTGTGTGTGTGTCCAAGTCTCCATGTTTCCACATTTTTTGAAGAAGTTGTGGTGCTGTCAAGAAGGTGGGTTAATACTGACGTGTTTCTATTATTTTGTCCATCCCCATACATAACAGAAACACCTCAAATAATTTTTACAAAAACAGAACATTATGATCTCCATGAACGATCATTTATAGCACATCTGTTAAATAAGACTGCATTAGTTTTAGCTAGGTGTACTTAACAATAAACCAGATGTCAGTCCAGGTCATACAGGAATTCATGTTAGAAGCAGCTGAGCTACAAGTCAAACAGCAAGTCTCAATAAACAATGATGTAGCCGCAAGACATGTTCACGTTTTGTGTAACATAACATGGCTTGTGGCTTTATTTTGAAAACCTCTTGCTCCACTGTGCTGCTGTTCACTCTGGAAGCAAAGTTGGAAAAGAAGTTACAGATTTAAAAAAAAGTCAACCACAAATTACCTCCTGGAATTTAGTGAATGATCAGCTTAGTAGGCCCACATTAGCTAGTTATCCAAAATGCTCCCACACTGCCGATTTAAGGCTCTCTTTTTGGTGGATAAAAGCCATTTCCCTATGACATTTGTCAGCTGTTCCTCTAAATCCTTCAGGTGAGTGACGCGAGTCTTTTACACACAAAACAAGCCGCACGTATTTTATTATTATATATATATATATATATATATATATATATATATATATATTATATTCTCTGATCAATTTGTCATCATTTCTAAGCATCCATAGGTGAGATTTTCTGTTAAAGACCTTCCACATCCCCTTTCCCCAGTGCTGTGCAGTGGCCTTCATCGAGAAGCTGGACGGTCAGTCTCTGAACCTCAGCGCTGAGGAGTTTGAGCTCTACATGTCGGGCCAGGTGTCCCCCCAACGCCCACAGTCCACTGGAGCTTCTTCCTGCTCCCCGGGCAGCTCGGCTCTCGGTCAGGTCCACGAGCGGCTGGACCTGCTAGCGGGGCTAGGGGAAAGGCAGGAGCAGGTCATGGAGAAGGCTCGCCAGCTGGAGAGCGACCTCATCGACTGGTCGGACGATGTGGAGCAGAAGGTGCAGAGCGTTCTGGAGAGCTTTCCGCCGGAGACGCAAGACCCGACTGCAACCACAGCTAGCGGGACGACTCCTGCAGCATCATCAGCAATCGACTCTGACAACGTTGAGAATGAGCACCTGCCCCCACCTCTGCAACCGCAAGTGTTTGCTGGTTGACGTAAAGAGCTCTGCTCAAAAAATAACATTCCTCTAGATGCTTTAATCCCCCAGATGCTTTAATCCCCCCCCCCCCGTTCCATGCTGTTAAACACAGCAGCCGCCTCATATGGACCTCATCTCCACTCTGGCCTCCATCCATCGTCCAAGAGGCCCTGAAATTACACTAAACAGTAACAAAGCTATTGAAGTAAAGGAATAGTCTGGCATTTTGGAAAGCACGCTTTCTTGCAGAGAGTTGGATGCAAAGATCAATAACCTCTCATGTCTGTACGGTAAATATGAAGCTTAATGCAAAGGAGCAGACTGACTCCACTCCAAGTTCTTCCCGAACACATCCGTTGGTCTCCCACAATGACATCATCAGTACCTCAGTACTTCTTTATCGTTGTTATTGTCGTTACATTTATGCAGCCGGGATATATGGTTGGATGTGCTATTTAAACATATTTCTGTCATGACTCCACAAAGTTTTTGTTTTTTATATATATATATATATATATATATATATATATATATATATATATATCTCAATCACATAGCGCGATGTGACCAGGTGCAAATTCAAAACCTGGGTGCTCAAATTAACACGTAGAACCTTACTGCCCAAGTAACATCAAATGACTTTACAGTTTCCTTAAAGGAAATGGAGAAATCCGAATAATGCAAAACTTAACTTCCCCTCACTAAAATAACCCTCTAGCTCATGCTCGTGATTTGTGCAGTTTACTGGGCATTTCCCTGTCCAGCAGAGAAGTATCCGGTGAGAAAGAGAGTGAGAGCGAGTGTGTGTGTGTGTGTGTGAGAATGAGACGTGTGACGTGTGTTGCATGGACATGTTCTGTTAATGTCGGGAAATCATCAAGTCCTCCCAGTGGTGTGGATATTGTGGTCTTGTTGTCATGCCGGACCTCTCACTCATATTCTGGATGTACAGAAGTGATTTTATTTTTCTATAGAGTGGCAGTTATCGATTCTTTTGGATGCAATAGGAGACATTAATCCTGTAATATTTACAGTAGTAGTCTTGTTAAAAAAAAAAAAAAAAAACATTGCTTGAAGACATGTTACATGAATTACCGAATAGTAACATTTTCATCCGTTCATTTATATTCTTGAGGGTGTCATAAGCATGTCCCATCGAGGTTTATAGGTGATTGGTTTTGGGTGTTTGCTGTCGGAGCAGTTGGATTAGGGAGATAAGAGGTCAAAGACGATGCTGTTTCCCCGTAAACACAAGTCGCTGCTCAGGCCGGGTTGCTTTACTAACAAAACATAACCAATTTATTATATTTTAATGCACTTTTCTTCTGTTTGATTTAAAGCTATTATTTCAGAAGTACCTTTTAATGAAGTAATGGTTGTATTCAGTTGAAAGGATAGTTGGTGAAAGCAGTGTTGTTAAACGTTGTCTTTGTATTTGGCAGTAGTGGAAGGAATGTTTGGGAGAGTTTTTGTTTGTTTTCCTTTTCTCATGAGCTACGGCTTGCTAGATGTTGCTACATTTTAATCTTTTCTTTTATTCTTATTCGCAGCACGTATAGTTAGTGTGCACTTGCTGTCCGATTTTAGTTTGAGAAAAGAGTTTTAATGCAAACTTAAACAATGGCTGGAATAACTTAATATCGCACTGTATGCAGAAGCCACTTATGAGGTATATGAAGATTTCAAAACATCATCTTTGTAACCGTATAGGTTTGTTATTATATCACATGGGATGAAGTAACTCAATACTGTCTTTTATTTATATGTAAGTTATTGGGGCAGTATTGGTGTATATGCCTCCATGGGTGTGTGATGATGATGATGATGAATAAACATTTAAAATACACGTGTTTCCTGTTCATCACGTTTTACATAACTTATGATTTAGCAGGTTAGAGTGTAAAGTAAAGAGTTTGCACATGACAGTTTAACTATTCATACAGTTCTGTGTCATGGTGGAGGAAGGAAAAGGATAGTAAGTGTAAAGGTTAAACAAAATATATTATTTCTGGTATTCATCAACCTTTTTCCGCGGTGTATGCACAAATGTGTCCGTTGTGGAATCGGTCAATAGGCTTTTGCAAACTAACAGTTTGTTCATTTATTAAGTCATTTCAGATTTTCTGTCTAGTCAAGAATAAATGCATAATACGATGACAAATGAGGTAGGAAACTGATCCTAAGAACCACTTGAAAATTAATAAATTCAACAAAGAATTTAAAAAAAGAGAAGACATTCAAAAGCTATATGCAAATTCACTGCAGTACCTGAGTTAGTTAGTCTTATAGTGAGACAAATCTTAGTCTGAATGTATCTCTGTGTTACTATTCTTCTTGCTGTCTGTTGAATTACAAACACAGAATTTTGTACTAAAAATTAGTTTGGACTTGGAAAAAAATGTATACTTTTAAGTATTAATGGTAAAAAAAAAAAAAAGATGCAAATAAAAAAAGCATTATCCATAGATAATTGAGTTTATTCAATGGTCCCACCTCATTGGAGAGGGATTTTAAATAACCATTTATTTAGTCCTTAACGCCACTATATGTATAGTGACTTGTTTAATTATTCTTCAAATGTTTATTTCTCAATGCGAGTACAGTTCATATAAAAATAATAATTCTGAAGAAGAGGGTGTGTTACTTTCACTTCCCTTTGTTTTTCACAATGTTCCAGGATTGAGATAAACCTCGGATGAAGTCAAGGCAACGAAGTAGAAATTAAGAAAAACAGTTCTCATCATTTCCATTAACTTTGATGATGCTCCCTCAACTTGTACTGCCCATCCATTCTTGTCAACGTTGTTATTGAAAAAATTCCCCGTTGGTTTCCACAGATGTATGCTCGAAGTTTAAAGGAAAAGTAAACTTCACAGGAAAGACAGCATTATTTTTAGGAAAAGGGATATCCAGCGCAAAATCTGAAAAACCCGTCATTCTCACTTCCCTCTTTTAGAAATAAAAGACTCTCCCTCAGTCTCGGTTTCTTACAAGCTATCACAATGGACACGGTAATTTCCCTCCTTGGTGAGTTTTCTTCAATTAATTCGCAATATCTCACAAATTAAGCATCGTCTTTAAAATATTGTTATCAACTTTCATTTATCTTACACAGGTTTATTTTCCTTTTCAGTTCTTTCAACACTACCACAGCTCGTAGTACCTCAAGGTATGTACCACATATTCTCATCTTTAAATTCTAGACATGGAACAACTTTGCATGACATAGTGTTAACATTTGTAAACATACGTCTATACTGTATCAATTCAATCAATATGCCAGCTGCTATTTCAGCTGAGTAGATGACGTTATGTGATGTTAATAAGATGACTTAAACATTAACATTTATAATCCCAACAGTGCAGGTAGAGAGATGATTTAGATTCTTTTGGGATATTCCTCCCAAGCAGACCCACATGTGTTTGTTTTTACAGCTCCCCGTGTGACCTCGTTCAGAGCTATAGTGGAGATGGTGTCAGGGGATTCAAGGATCTTCTCTGGAGAGAGTGTGCGGCTGAAATGCAGCATCCCTGATGTCCACAGGTCGTCCTGGGATTACCTGTGGTTCAGAGGATCTGAAAAACTCCCACAGCATGAGGAGCACCTCGATCTGTGGAAACCCAGGATTAGAGAGAGTGGGAAATTTTACTGCCAGGGTGTGAGGGATACAGTGGTCGGAAACATACACACCCTCCAAAGTCTGCCTTTGGAGATCAATGTGGATGGTAAGATCTTATGTTTTTTAAGTATCATTTCAACAGAAATCTCGTTGACTCACGTCAGGCCCCTTTCTTCCTCTTTTTCCTACTTCTGCTACGCCTGTAAAATTAGGAACCACTGTACTGTTGCTGCCCTAAACTTATTTAAAGTGTTGTATTGTGCCCCAATTATGTGTTTGTTTTTAAAAAGCATTACTTAATTGGCATGTTTTGCTCACATTTCAAACACGCTGCCATTAGCCTGTTTTATTACTGTGAATATCAATACAAGGCTATGCTGTGCTATGATATGCTGTTTCTTCTCTGTAATCTTTGTTCAGGAGGGTGGGCTATCCTGCAAGTCCCACCTCATCCCGGCCTCGTTGGAGACACCTTGAAGGTCACGTGTCGCATCCGAGGCTCACTCCAACTTCACGAGGTGATTCTGTACAAAGATGGCGTTGAAGTTATGAGACAAAAGGGCCTCGACACACATTTCTACCTGACCAACTCGACCCTCGAGGACCAAGGAATGTATTCTTGTCGGGCTTCCTGGGACGCAGACAGGCGTACACGCTCTGTAATTTCAGTTGACGCTTCAGTTCAGGTCTTAGGTAAGTTCATGGGCTGCATATACTGAGTTTGCTTGTGGTTGCACACGTTAAAATAATACTTATTCACTTTCCTGCAAAGAGTTACATGAGAAGACCGATGGCACTCTCATATCTTTCTGATATGTATCTACAGCTAAGCTTAGATTAGCATAAAGGGGAAACAGCTAGCCTGCAACTCTAAATATCACTAATTAACATGTTTGATCTCGTTTTTCTATAATATGTACAAAAGCACAAGAATAAAAATATAATTTGTGGTTGTGGGGTGTTATGTGCTGGACTATTTCTAGACCTGGAGCTGCGATTTGACTACTTGGTAGAGCCTTCTTTACTTTGGCAAGCCACTGCACCTGGCCAAGAGATACACCTGTAAAACCACAAATTGTTGTTTTTACATCTACACTGAATGCTAAAGCAAGCAGCCGTTTAGTTAAGTTTATTTTAGCTTACGCAAAGTCTGTCAATTGCACCAGGCTAGCTGTTTCCAGTCTTTATGCTAAGCTAAGCTAACCAGCTGCTGACTGTCTAGTTGTTTAATTAATGTCTAATTATTCCTACGAGTAGGATTTAGCGCTGTATTTGAATGTGTCAGTAATGTTTTTTTCTTTGTGGCTCTATCTTAGAGGTTCTGTCGCAGCCACTTTTGGAGATTGTTGCAGACAATAACCTGATTCCAGTAAATAAGATGAAGCTCATCTGCCACCTCCAATACAACGCCCGTGCTCCTGCGCCCCCAATACACTTCTATTTCTACATGAATAACAACCAACTGGGAACAGCAATGTCTCAGAACCATGTCCTGGTCAAACGGACTCCAGGCCAGTACAGCTGCAAGGCCAAGGTGCCTGAGTTGGGTATCTCCAGGAGGAGTGAACCCAAACCCTTTGGGCAAGTGACAGGTACTTAGAAGTGAATGTTACTTGCTGTGTTCTCGACTAAGTTTAAACCCTAATCCTTTTCCCAAGTTGTCAAAACTGTGAATCTTTGTGCAGCAGTTGCACAACTTCTGAGATCAACTTGTCTCTGATCCAATAGGACCACAGACAATGATTCCTCCAACTCTTCATCCCAGAGATCCACGGCCTTTAGCTTTCCCAAGCTCATCCCCAGACCTTTTCCTGTCTCCTTCTGCTGAGCCAACTGCAGCCCGTCCCTCCCCTCACCAATCCACTGCAACTCCTACTTCTTTTCACCCTACTGGAGTGAGCATCCAATCCCCATATCCTACCCGGGAGCCTTCACAGTCGGCACCAAGCAATTTGCTATCTACAGTCCAGTCTTCCAATCAAACTTGGGCTCCTTTAAATATATCTATGGGATCCGGTGACGTTTCTGGAGAATCAGGTGACATTTCTGGAGAATCAGGTGACATTTCTGGAGAATCAGGTGACATTCCTTAGAACTCTCCAGAAACTGTCCTATGGTGACACGTTATCATACATAACAGACCATTGCAGAAATTAATCATACTAAATCAGAGTAATGATGTGCAACTGCCACATCTATAGCTATCTGATATCAATCATATATATGGAGCCACTGGGCTCTCAGGCTTTTAATATGATTCTTTGTGTAATCTATCATTTAACATATTACAAAGTGTCAGCTTCATGATGTCATCTGTAAACAACTAACTGGATCAGTACTGTCGGGGATTAATAACTAATGCCATGTTGGTTAAATAAATAAAGCATTCCACATTATGTACTACTGGATTTTATTTTCAATTAACTCTTTTTACAATTGCACAGAAATACTGCTTACATATTAGAAGTATTTGTATATTAACACAAACGAAAAAAGATTTACATAAGAATTGTTATTTATAGGTCACAGTGATATTCTTTGTTTGCTTAACACATACATCATGAATTTGTATGTCTCAGTCTTTGCAATTTGATAGATGGCCAAGGCCATCAGGGAAAGTGTAGATGAACAGGAAGCAGAAGTCAGAGTGTGACAACGACAGCAGTAAACAAAGATATGGGAGACAGGAAAAAGTAAGAATCAAGTGGTAAAGGAACATCTTTGTGTAGGTGTGACACGTGGTCATTTCGTTTAAATGAGGGCAACACTACAGATAGATCAATAAACACTTCAGGCAACGTGCATGGTTAAGGAACACTGTGCAGGGCTTGGAGAGGTTAAAAAAAACATAAAAACATCTGCACACTTGGTGGCAAACACAATTTTAATATATATGTGTGTATATGTATATTTAAAACTCCTGTACTGTCACGCTTACTGCTGGTATATTTATTAACAACGTTTCGGTCTATTAGTTTTATCATGAATTTAAGTCACATCATTGTATCTTTGCCATTTTGCTTTCTTCTGATATTGTCATTTTTTAATTGCCTTCTAATGGATACCTGGGTAGCAATGTGTGTGTCTTCTCAAAATGACCTCATTCTTGTGGATTGGATAATTTACCCTGCATCTCTGTTGTGATGCATGTTTATATTCCTGACGAGGGTTGTGTAGATGGAAAATTGTAAATAATTGTAAATAAATATACCAGCAGTAAACAAGACTTTTGTTTAATTCAGAAGGTAAAAGGTAATATAATAAGATACTAGTGAGATAATAATACAATAACATGATCTTGATATTGCCAGTCCTTACATTTTCATACTTGTGTGCAGTACAAGTTTTGAGCAGTTCATAATGAGTGTAGTGTAGCACCACGAGTATTTGTCCCTTGTCAGGGATCAAGATTGAACAGTCCCATAAAAGATGTTTTCAGTAGAAGATCAGGCTGTGTCTGAGTAAAGCAGGAACCCGGAGAAGATGCTGTCATCCTCACTGCTGGCATATGCCCCGTTCCAGTCTCTGAGCGTTTCCATCCACACTTGATCACCCACCACCAGCTGCAGCACCACGAGAGTGGACGCCTGGTCGATGTCTTGACCATACAGAGAGTCCCGCGTCCTTACCCGCCGTGACCCGTTCACCACCAGCGTGGCGCGCAGTGGCTGATTGCGCACAGTGATGTGGAAGGAGAAGACGTAAACCCCAGCGTGGACGCATGTGAAGCTGTTGGAAGTGACATTGAAGTGGCTCTCTTCGTTGTAGAAGACTTTGTCGAAGCGGATCGGGAAGCCAGAGGGAGGAAAGGACTTTCTTGGAGAGATACCTACACTGAAGGCTGAGCGTTTCTGGAGATACTCTGATCCCTTTGATCCTTTGAATCCACGAATGCCCCGCTCACTTCTCTTCCCAGGGAAACCTCTGTCCCCTTTTGGCCCGAGCATCCCTCTTATGCCTTGTGGACCCTGAGGTCCTCTAAGCCCTGGCTCTCCTTGTGGTCCTAGAGGGCCGTGATCCCCACGGACGCCACCAGGACCTGGGGAACCATGCTTGCCGTTCATTCCTGGAATGCCCATCGCTCCTGGAATGCCAGGAGATCCCGTATCCCCTCGCTCACCTTTCTGTCCTCTCTCCCCAAAAGTGCCACACTCCCCATTATCCCCCTTGTTGCCTTTTGGACCTATCTCAACAGCCACTCCCGGAGGTCCAGCTGGCCCCTCTTTTCCCGGTTCTCCTTTCTCGCCAGCAGTCCCATTCTTGCCAGGTTCCCCTTTCACCCCACCATCACCTTTGACACCTTGCAACCCTATTTCACCTTTCTCACCTGTTGCGCCACCATCACCTGCAAGGTAAGGAAAACTGTGTCAGAAATATTGTTTTATTGTTTTATATATTATTTTATAAGTCTGGAGACAATATAAAACGATTCAGCAATCATCACAACAAGTTTTCACCTTTTTGTCCTAATTTCCCTGGAACTCCTGGTGCCCCGCCTGTTCCACTGCTTCCTTTGTCTGCTTTATCCCCTACGAAATTGATTCAATGAACAGTATCCAACTTAAGCATCATAAATACATTTTTTAACTAGTGCTAATATATGAAGAATAATAAGAAGAGTATACTGAATTACTTTCTTTTGATGGGCCCCTTTACAGTATGCGTTGTGCCCAGGGGCCCATTGTTTCATAATGTCCTATTTGTAATATTTATGTAATAAACATTTTAAAATGTGTATTCAACCGTATTATACTAGCCTTTGTCTCCTCTTAAGCCCATAGGACCACTGACTCCCGGTTGGCCAGGTAAAGCAGCTGCTCCTGTAAGGCCTCTATCACCTGGTGGCCCTGGGAAGCAAACACAGTCAAAGTTCAAAATGCTGAAAGCAAACATACGAACAAATTGAATAATTAAATCTAAATGTGTTTTGCTTTATTGCACTTTATCAGTGAGTCTTTTACCTTCCAGGCCTCTGTCTCCCTTTGGCCCCCTGGGGCCTCTCTCAGGTGGACAGCACTCACAGAAGTTGAAGTAGCACTCATTGTAATCTAGAGTGTAATTCTCAGGAGCCCCCTGCTCGGTGCCCTCTGTGTAGTCCTGTGGGTAGACGTGATTTGGAATGGTGGTCCTCTCTGTGGGGGGCAGCGGTTGGGGCTTCACAGGATTTGCGCTCGGCACTGTCTTGAGAGTCTTGGGCATGCTGGTGGTTACAGGGCTGTGCACGGTGATCTGAGGGAGGGGCTTCTTGGTGTACTGGTACTTCGGCTTCTGTGTAGTCTTAGCTTCAGCACAGGACACCACAGCGAGTGTAACCACAACTACAGCCACAAGGGTTGACTGACAGGAGATAATCCTCATGATTGACTGGGATCGGTTCTTTTCTTCTGTTCGTTTGATTTCATTTCATTGTCAATCCACTTTAGGTTTAAAGACGAGAGGTTACAAAAATAGCACATGCTGATTAGCATTACTGTTGCAAAACACTCAAAGCACTGCATCAAGCCGTCTCTCCCCTCATCTACTATGATTATCACTATTGTGATTCTTTTTCTCTGTTGCTCTAGTTCCACTTGTACTTTATACACTGCCAATTTCAGGTTGGAGCTACTTTGTTTCTCAGTGATGTGCCACTCTAAGCTGATCGTATGGGTGTTTATCAGTAAATTCAGCTGTTACAATGTTTAACTGCAATGGAAACCTGCATCTTCATCATTTTCATCAAGGTCAGTAAGCTCCTCAACCTAGATATGCCATTCTATACACATAAATCAATCATTTCAATAGGTAACCCATCATGCCGAGATTCAGCTTTCTCTGCAAAATTTTGAATTTAGCAAAACTGATAAGACTCACCCAGTGATGCATAAGTGGTATGGTCATTTATCCTTTCTAGCGGTGGCTCAGAGGCAGCCCCAGGAGCTCCAGGTCTTTCTGATATCTCTGCGAGGCTTGGGCGAAAGAACATCCCCACCGATGAGGGTGTTAAGCTGGAATCACAGGGGGAGGTCTGAAATCCAACTGACGGGCTGGAGCCGACCCAAGGAGAACCACTGTGCTGTGGCCCATTCTCTGTACCCCTGTTGTGTAGAAAGGTGCTTTTGTGACACGGGATACAGCACCCGCCAGGAGCACTCCTTCACTGCGAGCTAGGCGAGGCCGTGGGGCAATGGGTCATCCGATATGGGAGGCATTCCTCCAACATCCAACTTACTACCCAGGCTTTTACGCTGGGACAAAGCCAAGCAAAGAGGGTTCTGTGACAAAGGGCCAGGGCACTACAGCAGCCCTTTTTTTCAAGCGTAAGTTTGTACTGTATTCTGCATGATGGTGCAAAACATTTTTACAGATGTGCCACTCAGTTGCAAGTTGTTCGACAGTACACCAAGATTGGAATATCTGCAGAAATTCATTTAAAAATGTTTTACGACTAACAAACTGGCGCGCAACACAGGGAGCTCAGTATTGACAATCTACTGGTACTTGGTGAAAATCCAGAAGAAAGCTTAAACCTTAAGAGCACTGTTAATCTCCTCACTCAACAGTTGCTAAACCTGAGCTGTTTGTCAAGGGAACCAACTTATCTACTTATCTAAATCAGTGCCGTTGCAACGCTTGCCCGATCACTGTGACCGACTTTCTGCATGAGCCCCCGAGACTGCTGGCAGCTATATTTGCTAACTATGATTCATACTGTGTAGCTGGACAATGATTCATTCTTTGGGTGTAACAAGATAGCATCGTGTTTTTGTAGAAAAGTGATTTTCCGGTAGCTGTCTACTCGAAACTCTCGACTGGTCAGTGAATGAGTGTTTGAGCAATGGACATGCCTCAGTTGTCAAAGACCTCACATCCTCAGAGGGATCTATGACCAGCTATGAGTGAGCAGAAAGAAGGGAAATGAAATTTGGGAAACAGAGAGGGGTGATGGTGAGATGGGGGCTACTAAATAGGAGACGATTGTGTTTATTTAAACCATTTTTTTTATCTTCACACGTATACTTTTCTTTACCTCCTCACCTCAATTTACACGCTCTTTTTCTCCCTCCTTCCCAGCAGCTCAGGTGAAGTGTCCTTGACTTGCCCCTCCATAAAAGACAAACTGAGGGAGTGTAACATATGCAGCTGAGTCCTGAGAGAGGAGTTCCTTTGGGGTTCTCCATGCCCAACCTCGACCCCGTCGTCTCTCAGTTCCATTCAGATCACACACAACGGCAGCGGTCGGCTTACAGTGCTCCAGCTGGTCACAGAGGACCCAGGCGCCGCTCACCTGTCCGTTCATTTAACACTGGCAGCAGCCCTGCCCTCAGCCTCCATCCACACACACTATAGAGCAAGGGATAAGTAAGAGTTAACTTACTCAACGGATGCAGCCAAGCAGACAGAGAGCCAAAGATGACTTGGATGGATGGAGCTGTATTACCTTACATTAACCCTATTCATTCGATCTTCAAGCTGCAGTGAATGTGTAGGGAGAGGGTGAGAGTGAGACAATAACATAGACTTGTTTAGTAACCAACACAGCAACCAGTCACTCTAGATTATTCCAGTACTGACAAGACATAGACAGTGTTTTGTTCTTTACTGTGGGATCTTATCAAAGAAAATCTAGATCCTGCAGAATTAGCAGCTAATGACTTTGGCAAGAGATCTGCTGGCAGTGAAGACACATCTAATGTAGTCGGACAGAGGACAAAAACACTTTCTCCTGCCACACTTTCCCCAACTAGCCTCTCTGATGTCAGGGATTGGGTTCTAATGTGCTTTTGGGGCTGTATTTCTGCATTTCTGAAAAACGGTATTGTGTTTTCTGTTTATAATACATTGTTGGTTGAGTTATATCTTAGCTTACTTGGACCTTTTCTATTTAAAGGAAATGTGTGGGATTATTTGTATTACTGATGAAGGCATTGTAGTTGGACATTTTTCGTCTTTCTTCCAGAGAGCGAGAGGAAAAGATTGAGATCTCTCACATCTGTTGAATTGAAGCTACAGCCAGCAGACGGTTAGTTCAGTTTAGCAATAAGACCGGAAACAAGGGGAGACAGCTCGCCTGGCTTTGTAAAAAGGTAACAAAATCTGCACATTAGCACCTCCAAAGCTCTCTAAATAACAAATATCTCCACATGTTGCCCCGGCACCCTCGCAGTGACAACAAGTCTTGTGGAAGTAACTGCTCCAAATCCAAAACTAGTCCAGAACAAAATCCTGCGTTAATCCATTTTAAATGTAACTCAAATCACTAAGTCACTACAATCAGATAGATATTTGGAACCCAAATCTTAACAAATGTCCCATATCTATTATGTAGTAGGTTTTTATTTTCAGTATAGTATGTTGAAAAAAGGTTTGATATCAAGTGTTATGAAAAAACAAAACCCTGTCTCCCTCCCTTGAGCCTTTCACATTAAAATTCTTGGTACTTGTCAATCATCCCTTCACAGGAGCTTGCATATATTGATGAGAATGTTCCTCTTTTCCATGAATGTACAGCACCGTACTCTGAATACAGAACCACAATGTGAACCAGATAGTCTTAACTTAAAGATAATGAATAGAGTGCTTACTGAACTAGATTCAGACTTGTGATGATTGAACTTGGGCAAAGAATGAGACCATTGAGCAAAAGATTATTTCTCTGCTTGACCACTTGGTGGCAGACTTGGGTTTTAGGTTTCACCACAAAGATCCTGTACGTAAAAAAACAAAAACATGTCTCAGCTTACTAAAAACCTTTATAGTTTGTAATATGCAGATGGTGGTGAAGATGTTGCTCTCACAAGCAGGCCTATATTTAGGAGCACAACAAGTCTCTTTAATACGCTACGCTGCTCTTCATCAACTTTTACTATGAGCCAAACTTAGCATAACATGTTTTCATTTGGAGTAAAAGTCCTTTGACCATGTCAGGGTTTGGATCCAGCTGTGGTTTAATGCCTTGCTGGGCTCAGGTTTTTAACAGGCCAACCACTCCTATTCTCATATCGACTGATTCGTATCTCAGATATACTGTGGCGCTGTGTCATTAAATGGATTCCTCCTCCATCTTTGATCAACAAAGAATGGCAATAATTGAACAATCACTCTAAATATCACAGCACAAACCCTACGCTTGTTGGCAAACAAAATATTCCTGGATTATGTTGTAATGGGGAAATGGATTTCTACATCCATAAAATAAAGTCTACGTCTGAGTGAGACTTTTTGAATGAACGTTTCTTAATACAAGGGGAAAATACGGTTAAAAAAGTGTGTTAAACTAAGACAGACAGACACATCCAACAGTGCAAACAATGATCCCTCAAAAACAAGTCTGTTAAATGACACTACAATACATAATACATACGTAGCAGGGTATTGTGTAGTCCTTTGTCTTTTTTTTATTTGGTGTTATAGATTTTTACACAAGGGAATTACACAATTGTCGATAAGTTATACAGTTAACTGAAGACAAAAATCAAATGTGTTGGTCACAGTCGTTGGTCATATAAAACGAATGTGATATCTTCAAATATTCAGATTTTGTGGCAAACTCTTTATTAAGCCATAAGCTGTAGCAGAATATACAATTACAATGAATCTAATTGACCTTGCCCTGTAAAGAAACTAAATCTCACAAGTTACTTCATGAAAACAGTTTGCGTAGGTATGTGCATGTTAGTGACGTTAGACTAGATAATATGCAGTTGAGACATTTACCTTAAAAAAGGACTCAACATTTAATCACACAAATGGGACATAAAAGCACTTTCTTTTATAGAAGAGACCAGAAGAGAACATTAAGTGAATTACAAAAATAAAAGTGTTCATCAGTGAACAGAATTATATTATCACAAAGTTTATTCAAAGATCATGTAAAGCTGTCATGCCATGTGTGGATGTCCTGACGTGTCCATTGTTGTCGATGTCAGTCAAAGATTGAGGCTAAACAGTATTCGTAG